TCACACAGCTAAGATTAATATATAACCATAAAGACAAAAGGGAGGCGAAGCCTCCTAACTACTTCTCCCTCTAGTTAAAATCAAAAACAGCGGCAAGTGTACTTGATGTTAATGTTAGCAAATTTTTGTCTACAGTGAATAACCACAATTTTGTTCCCGGATCAGTTCTAACTTGTGACTAAGCCTGTGTATGAAAAGGTAATTTAAATAAAATAAAAACTATCGTAACATGTCACATTTATATCATCTCCCACCAAGTTTATTGGGCGTGTTAACATGTCCATAGAATGAGGGTACGTCGCAGTAGTAGTATCTAATTGCCCGACTTGGTGTGCTGTTGTTCAACTGCCACTGATGCTGACATTTTTACATACCATTCAGCCAGTAAAGGCGTACGTGATTTAGTGGAGAAAAATAATCATCAATACGAAATGTCGAGGAATTTCTGATGTTTAATTTACAACAAAATGTAAGGTTTATTGTATTATTCTTATTGGTAAATTCAAGCTCCACCGGAGAAGTTTTGACTAGCGCGACAATAACCATATAGTTTGCAATTTACGCACAAACATTATGGTTAAATTTCGATTATGAGAATTCCCATTTACACTGTCAATGTAAAACTCACATGAATAAGCGCATTTGCAGACAAAAATAAATACCAAAAAATTTTCACAATTTTTATGTTAATTTCTAAGACAAATATAAATCGTTTTTGTTATAACCTCTATCCTTGCGTAATAACAATATCTTCGATTTCTGTACAAAGTATCATTGATTCGTATAATCCTTCTCGCAAGCTCAATCTTTACTAATACCTATATCAGCGAAGCAATGGACGAAGAAGTAAAATATGAGAGAGTACTTCTAGTAAATTATTCTTTTTGACAGAAAAAGATACCATCTAGGACTGGTCGTTCATCCGTTAATCAATCGATACCTAATTATCGCTGATACCCGGTTTGTGTAACAAATATAAATTTTGCCACATTTTGTATGTCAACTTGAAATGTATGTAAATTCGGGATTATGTCCATTTAAAATCGACATGTGTCGATTCCAAATTGACATTGACATACAACAATATTATTATTGATATTAATCGTAAATCACTAATGCTAAAATATCAATTGATATGACGATATTCTTCATAAAGTTAGCATTCTACGAAACGTTTTATATCATTGCAAGTTTAGGTTTGTAATCGTTTCAGACACAATATTTGTATTTTTCGTAGACTAAATGATCGTTTCAACAATACTGTTTGTATGATCTGCAAAAGGTTAAAAAATTTTTCTAGTGCGCCCCACAACCCTGACCCCTGTGACATCCACAAGGTTGCACTAATAATCAGTGGGAGGCCTCCACAAAGAAAGCAACCTTCCGTTGAAGAAAAACAAAAGAATGACTACGCTCTTCCAATGAGAATAAACAGTTTATGATACCACCGCAGTACAAAACATAATCATTCCCTGTTGTCCAACAAATAACATATTTACATTTATATTGATACGTCATAGCATTGTCAATGCATTACTTTGTCACGGCACCGTATAATTACTGATACAAGACTGGCGAAGTTTATATCCTAGTTATACTATAACTCTAATCTAACGGAAAGAGTATTCCGATAACGTAACGAAAGCCGAACGATTTAATTGAGTTGAAAAGTTTAAGCCGTACAAATTGCTATATTTCGACTCGATTTTAACAATTAGACCTCAGTTGAATAAAACGTCCATTACATCCGCCTGACAGAAATCATTCATACGACGGCTGACCATCTATCGGATAAACCACTCAGCTATCATCTTAACACTCGCATAGGTTGTACCTTGCCTATACATAGATAAGTTTTTTACAAGTGCGTGGTTGCAGGAAAAGATGACACTATTACATAGCCGGGCCCTGTTAAAATCTCATGTTCCCAGGCGTCACAGAATAAAGGGGACAAAGCCCCCATAATTTCTTCTTTACCATCTTGCTTTAACTGTAAAGCGTTAGATTCGATCTTCACATAGTCGCATGGGTAACGTTTGTACTATTTAGTATTGGTATTTTTGGTAGACAATTTATTAATTCGAAAAGACTTTAACATTTTGACAATCGAAGTAGATCCGCGTGTAACATTAACGGGGTTTGATAGCCTAAAACTGTTCCAACTCAAAAAACGACTATGCCATGCGATTGACCACTTGCCAAACAATGGCTTGGTCCTACCAATAAGCAACAACACATGGTGTTACGTTAAATATGCATATTCTCCACTTTGTTTATGTTGCTCGCTATAGCTATTTACCTTTGAATATTACCAAATATTATTTAGGAAACCTAATTTCTTATAAATACTCCAGCAGGATAGATAGCCGTTGAACTGTATCAACTTACCAATTGACTTATTAACAACTACAAAACCATGAAGCACTCAATTCTTTTTCTACTCGTTGTCTTGGCTACAATTTCAGTAATCAGTGCTACTTCGATGGAAACAGTTGCTCAATTTAGACCATGCAATCTATGCAGTCATTCAAAGGCTCTTAACGTAACGCTGTCACCTTATACTATTGTCCCTGGCAAAGCTGTTACTTTTAACATTTCCGGAACTGCGGCAACTAAAATTCCTAAAGACTCCACCGTGGAAATCAAACTTTTCAACGGCGATGACTTTAAAAAGACGTTCAGTGGAAATTTTTGTAAACTTTCTAAATCAAAATGTCCAGTCAAACAGGGTACTGTGTTTGACTTGTTGCACAAAATTACGCCGAAAAAATTGCCAAAGAAGTATTTCATTCAGATCAAAATATTGGATCCTCAAAGAAAACAGCTTATGTGCTCTACGAACAAACACCGTCTTTTTAATTCTAACTCTTATTCTAATTTTGGTTCTAATTCTAATTCTGGTTCTAAATCTGGTTCTAAATCTGGTTCTAATGCTGGTTCTAATTCTGGTTCTACTTCTGATTCTATTTTTGGTTCTATTTTTGGTTCTCATTCTGGTTCTAATTCTGATTCTAATTCTGGTCCTATTTTTGGTTCTCATTCTGGTTCTAATTCTGATTCTAATTCTCATTCTGGTTCTAATTTTGATTTGATATGTTAATTAATTTTTTTTTTTACTTTTTTTTACGTACGCACATTTAGCGGTATTTATTGGACTTTAATTAGCGCTTTAATGTGCCGATTAAAATATTTGGTATACAATTTTCAAAAACATTTTAATTTATCACAATTTCGGGTGCTGTAATCTTAGTTTAATATTAACAATTAAATATTTATAGAGTAACAATACTATCAGTGAATAATTTTTAAAATATTGACAATAAATACAATTAACAACCTTTTATATTAAAATCTTTGTTTGTTGTTAAAATCCAACATTGAAATATCGTTGAGAGACACTGGGCCTACGTATAGGCATTTTACTGTATATTAATATTTTATTTTGTAAAATTGTTCATAACTTATAACTATTGACTGATGCTAAATTTAACAGCAACTTTGGTGATTACAGAATCAGTGTTTGAACAGCGTAATTTTATCTATTGTGCAGGTGTTTGCAGAAAAAATACTAATCGACTTGCTTATTTCTGCACAAGTTGCATTTCGATATATTATTTGAAAGCTTAGAACAAACAATTTTTGTTATGCATTAATTATCTGGTACATTATTTCTACCACTAGCTCATACAGTCTCTCATTAATTCTACCAAACTTGCTAGAAAAGTTTCTTAAATGTAAATATATTTTCGTCAAAAACGTTCTACTTAATCTAAATTTTTGGGTATGCATTTCTTCACTTTCTTTTAACAATAACCCCAAAATTAATAAAGTTTAAAATCATAATTCTAAGAGCATACGTTTCAATAACTGCTTAGAACCTAACAGACATGCTTGAAGTCATTAACAAGAAACACAAAGGCATATACAAAATAATAAACAGATGGTTTTGAACACATTTAATTATATTTTAATTGGTTTGGGAAAATTAATTACATTGTTTGTTTTGATGTTAGCATAAATTTTTCGTTAGATATTAATAAGATAACAGCAATTGTAATAATAATTAAACTTAAATACCTTGTTAAGTCTAACATTTTGCAGTTACAAATAATGTTAATTAATTAAACTGTTTTATACCAGATTTAAATAACAATGTTTTTAATTTTTAACGTAAACTCTTTCAAGATATTCGGTTTTAACTTTCTGACACTAATTTTAATTAATAATACATTAATGTGGAATAATTTAGAAAAAACTATTTATAAACAAACGACAATTTTATTATTAAATTTAGTACTGCGAGGTGTAGCAATTTATTAAATACAGTAAATATCTATTTTAATTACTTGATGCTCGATGTTAACCTGATTTGCCGATAATGCATCCACAGTCGTCATTTGCACTGTATCATTTTCTACATTAAAATTTGAAATTTTCCTTCAATTGCTTCTTCGGGTAACCATTACGCAATCGAGTAATTACTAAAACAGAATATGTTAACAAAGTAAAGCAAAAAGCAATGATATATTTATTTGCTAACGATTGAACATAATAACAGTAACAAGACTATTATCCATTTTGCAAAACATTTCAGAATAACTGCAAACTAATACTGTAACGCACGCATATTTACAATGATTTTATTTACTATACTATAACTGTACATAGTGTCTGGTAATGCACAAAGTCGCATTGAAGTAATGGTCGGCAAATACAATCGACATATTATTGCCAAAGATATGCTTGAGCATTAGCGATATTAATTTTTCTACCGGTGAGAAAATTAAAAGATGAGAGTAGTAAAATTGCATGATGGCTTGACATACAGCATTGTTGTGAAAGAATGATTTGAGTTACAGAATGTGTTAGCGATTGTCTTTCTATTGTAAAAGGTTACTGAATGCATTAGAAAATAATTATTCTATTAGTAGGGGGATGCAAAACAATTGTAACTAAACACTGATCGACATATCATTTGAATATGTTTGACACTTCTACGGTGAAAAGATGAGAGTATTAAATGGCGTAATAACGTAGTTCGGGCATAACATTGTGAAATATGCTTACAGTCTATTGATGCAGGATGTGAATAAACACCAATTCGACATATTATAGGAAAAGAGAAAACGCTTTGAGTTAGTGAATACGTTAGCTGAAATTCTCCCATTCGTGAGAATGCAAAATTTATGGCATTTAAGACTTACTATCTGAGTTTAAGCTTAAGGTGGTGCAACACGCATGTACCAGCCAAACTTGTCAACCAAATTTGGGCTAAAAGCACGGACGGATTGTGTGAAATTAACAGATTTGCGGATATCAGGTTTGATTTAAACGATAAACAGACAGCAGTGTACTGCGTCATGTTATTATGTAGTGTTTATTGCCTGGCGAGTTATCGCGCTAATTATACATTTGACAATATTCTATGTGCAGTTTGTCACGGCTTATGAACCAACGTTAAAAACTATACTACACAGTCACTCTCGATATAATGATCCCTCGATAAGATGATGTTTGCTTAAGATGAAGTTTTTTTCTGGACCAAGTCAGTTATAATAAATTGGGCTCGATATAGTGATGTTAATTATAAATATAAACTCGCGATATAACCTTATAATGATGTTTTTTGAGACTTATATAGAACCAAGATTAATAAAAAGATCTCGATTTAACGATGTGTGTAGATCATCACTATAATAGGTAATCAATTTATCGAGCGTACGAGTAGCAAACAAAGTTTAGTCTTTTATAAAAAAGGTAGGAAGTGCAGAGATTGTGCAACAGACTGTCCGACTAAAAGTATAAGGAGGCTAAAATAATGTGTAACGTTCAATATCACTGTTACGTAATAATTGTACAGGTCTCAATGCATATCATTTTCTCTTATTTAATATATATATTATTACAGTAAGCGATATTTGAAGAATCAGTGGAAAATGGCCGTATTTACATATGGAAGAAATTTAGGAGAATCGAAATAAAGAAAAGTTAGTGTGATAAAAGAGCATATATGTATAACATTACGAATTGGAAATGCTCTATTAAACCAAATACCGTACGCTTCATAATCTAGCAATATGAGCCGAGTTACGAGGTGAAAAGTCAGAACTAAGACCATATCCGCAATCCCAAATCTGTGAATGCTAACGTTATGCTAGCAAGGCGTGCTCTATGGAATATAATTTATCAGTTAGATAATAGCCAAAATTGTAGAGATACATATAATATAATAACACATCGTGTCATAAATCGCATACCTGTCAAACATTAACATTCATAAAAAGAAAGATCGAAACGTCATAATCTGTTAGAAGCATGTGAAAAGAAGTCAATACCACTAACATTTCATCAAACGAAAGATCGTAACAGCATAATCTGTTGGAAGCATGTAAAGAGAAAATCAGTATTAGAAACATACGATGCGAGAGTAATGAAAGTAAAATTCTCGAATGCCGGGTGAAGCCATTAAATGAATCCAGATCTCGTATTCCATCAAATACACATATTGCTATTCAAACGTAATTAGCGTAATACCCACATACGGAGAATCCCCCATAAAAAAGTTATTTGTTTGGTTTTTCTCTTCTTTAATATTGTAAACAAGATGAGATTTTTGTTTATTTGATAAATAGATTGACGATGTAAGACTGTCAGTGATAGTTTAAATATGTTCATTCGTTTACAAACGCGACTGAAAGGTTTTTTTCCCATCAAAAATGGAGTACGTGTTATTGCCAAATGGTAATTAAACAGACCATCTCCCATATACAAGAAATTAGTTTTTTGCCAAAGAATAATTACTTTTCAATCAGATTATGTAGCATTGTTATAAATAAAGACGTCCCGATTTCAATATAAAAGAATGTATTTCCGCGCTTAGTGTTTACGAAATTGTTCAAGCGTCAAACGTCATTACCAGAGTATATGAACCAATAAATTTCTTGTACTGTTAAAACGAAAGATGCATTATACTATTTACTATATTCAGCTATATCCCACTTCAGATATATCCCCAAAAAGTCTCCGTCCCAAAGTGGGGATATAAACGAGGGATGACTGTACATGATAATACCAATGTCCGATGTCTGAGTAAATTTGCGGTATGGAGAACTTCCGGTGCAATAAATGGTATATCGCGAGGAACTTTTATTCACAACGAGGTGCTCGCTAAAGCCCAGTTTAAGCTGTTTTTATCTATTTACATATCTTGTAAAAGAAGAGAATAAAAGCCCATATATTACGGCTAGATAGGGGAAGGGGGGGAGTGTCTATTTTTAGCAGAGTTTATGATGGACTGTAGTCTACTGGGGGAGACCCATGGGGTTGTGGGGTCGATCTGTAGATCTAGAGCGCGGAGGGATAAGAATCGTCCAATTAGGAGATTGGTAACATCAGTGAGTGATGGGGTGGGGTTTCTTCCGAAGGCCCTGGATGTGAAGGCATTCCAAAGTATGGAGATTGCTGCTGATTGTATGGAACGCAGTAGGCGGTGTTGAGGGGGTGAGAGAGATGAGGTGGGTATGGTTGGAGGTGGTTGGGAGTGGGTTCCATAGGTACGTGGGGTGGTTGAAAAGTTTTGATCGTCTATTATTTATTCAACAATGTACATAATAATTTACAAATAAATCACA